CGTCTGAATGAAGCATTGTTGGAAAAAAGGCCAGCAGTAGCCAGCAATCGACGTAAAGTCATGCTTTTGCACGACAACGCTCGACCACACGTTGCCAAAGCCGTCAAAGAAACAGCCGTCAAAGAAACACTAATGCAGCTCGAGTGGGAAGTTCTCCCGCATCCAGCGTATTCACCAGACTTAGCTCCTTCGGACTATTACTTGTTTCGGTCGATGCAGCATGGCTTGGTGGATACACACTTCAGAAATTACGAGGATGTGCGAAAATGGATCGACGAATGGATTGCATCAAAAGACCAATCGTTCTATCGTCGCGGAATCTACGCGTTGCCCGAAAGATGGGAAAAATGTATAGCTAGCGAGGGAAAATACTTCGATTAATGTATTTTTTGCTTTTGATGTCGAAATAAATGAGTTTTTTAAACAAAAAAACCGCAGGAACTAAGTTTACCACCTAATATATATGTATATAGAGAGAGTTGAATATTTAAAAAATATATAATATTACAATAATATATAATATTAAATAGTATAACGGGCTTATAAGGATTAGTTTTACTAATTCTAACAAGATAAACGATTGCACACTCTCTTAAGAAATAGTGAAAGTGTCAATGATTGAATGAATAAAACTAAAATAGTAAAAGAGATTACGATACCTCTTGATTTTGTCCTCGGTCGTTTGTCCGGACTTCTCGATATCCCTGATAATTTCGGTATATTTAGCGATGAAAGTGGTAATTTCCGCGATCAACGCGATAAATTGCTGTCGCAGTAACAACAATTGACGAAGCTTCGCTATCTGCGCTTCGAGTGCTCTTATCAGATCGTCCTGTTGGGCCAACACGCCGTGAAGATCGCCCACGTTGGCGGACTGAAGATCGGACAGTTTCGCCTTGTTGGCTTTGAGATCGCCGAGGATCCTTTCATAAGCTGCCAGCATTCCTTCCACATCCTCCACGCGAGCACCGATTGGTTTGTTCAGATCCTGAAGCTCCTTTTGAATGTCCGACATGAACTGAATCGCCTCCGCCACTCGGGCGGCGGCTTCTTCAGCTTCGTCTATGCTCTTCTGTAGAGCGATTGCTCTCTCATTTATCACGCCGGCCACGCGTCCGTGAGCTTCCTTCATGTTTCTCAATTGCTCGCTCAGCTCTTGCTTGTCCGCGTCGCTCACGGTCGGCAAGATCGATTTACCTTGTTGGTTTATCTTTTCTATATCATCGCCGTACTCCTGCGCTTCCTTCTTCAGCCGATCGTACTGTGAACAAACGCAAAAAGAGAAACGTTCATATTTACTTCGAACGTGAAAGATGCGAAGGAGAAATCATCGATCGCAGACATACCTTTGCCAGCTGTTCGCGAAGAATGTCAAGACTGGAAGGCCGCAGTTCGGAAGAGGTGGCCACCTCAGCCTCTTTGATCCATCGTTGGCACTTGTCTAACTCGCTCTCGAAGGCCTTGCGTCCCTGAAGAAGGTCCGCCAACGAGGCCTTCTTTTCCTTCGCCTCTTTCTTCAGCTCCTCGTAATCTTTACTCAAGTCGTCCAGGAGAGCCTGTAGTTTGGCGCGACCTTCCGCGTTGCATTCTTTCAGCAAGTTGTTACCCTGCTTGAGGATGTCCTTGAGATTGCTCTCGTTGAAGGAATCAATGTCCGCCTCCAGTCCGCTGTGTTGCGCAATGTCTTGCTCGACCTTCGAGGCTCTCAGCGGCAAGTATCCGCTGAGCTTCTTCAGGTCGTTACCCTTAGCCTTGATCCAGTTTCGAGCTCGCTCGATGTCAGCCTCCAGCTTGCGACGCGCCTCAGCCGCCGCGCTCGTGATGGAGATCTCTTCTCTCAGGAGGCCGCACAACTCGACCTGTTCGCTGCGCAGAGCCTTCGTATCGGCTTCCAATTGTTGCTGCTCACTGGTTTCCAGCTCATTCTGCATGTTGCCGACTCTCTTCTCCAGAGTGTCTATGATCAGTTGCTTACCGTCAGCTTCCTTCAGCATAGCCTGCGAGAACAAATCATCGGTTGAAGCAAAATACTTTTAATTAATACTCTCATGCGATCAGATGTTTTATCCCGGGGAAAAAAGGATCATACGTGAAACCCGCCCATATATGACTATATATAATTGTATATGTTCTACTACTATATTTTTACGCTATGTTATTATTATTATTATTAATAAAATATATTGCAAGAAATCACCTTGAGAGCGAGGAGCCTCTCGTCCGCCTGTTTGCTCTCATAGCCGAGCAGCTCCGGCATTTTCACCTGTTGCTTCTTCCGCTCGATCCATTCGCGATTCTCCTCGATCTCGCGCCTGGTCGCTTCGATGCCCTGCGCTGTCATGTCCAGAACCTGCGCCTTCCTCTGCAACTTCTTGCCGATGTCCGCGTACCGTCGCTCCACCGACTTGATCTGCTCCTCGATCTGCTGGGAGTCCAAGTTGCTGACCGAGTCCATCACTTGGTCACCCAGTTTCTTGATCTCGGCGAGCTTCTCCGGGCCCTGCGACTCGTACTCGGCTGTGATGTCCTTGAGGTTCGAGATCTTCTGGCCGATGGTCAGTCCGCTACCCTTCTCGATCACGTCGACCTTCTTCGACAAGCTGTCGAACCAATTCTGCATATCCTGCACCTGCGACCTGTACTTCTGGATGAGATCCTGGGCCGCTTGTTTGCCGGAGATTGCATCGGTGAGCTCGGCTTCCAGCTTGTTCAAGCCCTCCTCGATATCGTGGTCTTCTTCCTGTATCGACAGCTCCGTGAGTGCGCGAGTGCGACGTTCGCCCACATTGGCGAGCAGCTCGTTCATCGCTTGCAATTCGGACTGGGCAGCCTCCGATCGCAACTTCGCCGGTCGCGACTTCCATTCGGCGCAGAGCGCTCGTTGCTGATTAATCCAAGCGCGAAGCGCGTTCTTCTGTCGTAATTGCTCCTCGAGCTCGCCCACCGTCTTCATCACGCTCGCCAAGTGCATTTGCATCTGGTAACGCAAGAAATGTGTAAGCGCAACTTGTATTTGAAGAATAAGTGATCGATGCTGAAAAAGCTTTTACTGCAATTGTGGCTTTTAGAATTAAGAGAGAAGTCTCTTAAAGGCCGCAGCGCAAAAATCCAAATTACCTGGATGTAAGAGCACGTAAAAATGGTCAATTTACCGTATATAATTGATTCAACGATCATTTCCGTTTGAAAGGAATTTCGAAATCCGACCACTTAACCCTTCACTTAAAATCTCATTGTGACTATAGCTTTTACGTCAAGAGAGAAATTTCTTAAAGGCCGCGGCGCAAACGTCGAAATTATCCGGATATAAAAGAGTGAAACAAGAAAGTATAAGTTTTCAATCTAACAGAGAGAATTTTAGTCGAATTAATTTCAGTCCACTTAATTATTTAATCATGAACTGAGATTTCTTTCGTGTGATGGTAATCAGCCAAAGTGGTGCGCGTTTTTGTTGCTCTAGTGCTATAAACATTTGCGTAGGGTAGACGAATTTTCCAACACGTTAACCACGTACCTGATCGATGAGATCGTCGAGTCTCGTTCTAACTTCGACCTCTCTCGCGGGAACTTGAATGGGCGGTGCGTCGAGGGGACTTCCAGGCCTGGAGACGCAGGCCGCCGCGGCTTCGCAAGCTTCCACCGCCAGGGCCAGTCGAGCTTTTTCACCTTGCAGCTTGTTGTGCAGAATGCGGGCGTTCTCGAGGCTCTGCTCGGCCGAAGTCAAGTGATCCAGAGGCGCGTCCAAGCTCTGAGTCATCTCCGCCTCGTACGTGTCCAGATTCTTCATGATGCTTTCCAGAGTGTTCTCGTATTCCTGAAACTTAGCCAAGGACTCGGCCAATCGGTTCTTGATCTGCAGAGCGGTGTTCAACAGCGAATTGTAACTGTCCTGTACGTTCTGCAGCTGCGTTTCTATGGTCGACCTAATGACGGGATTCACGTTGACGTATCGATCCACCTGACCATGGCCTTTCGCCTTTAGTTCGTCCAACACCTCCTGGTACTTCTGGATTTCGGTCAGCAGCGTCTCGTGCTGCTTGATCTGCTCGAGCGTTTGCTCCTTGTTAGTTATGTAAAGGGAGTTGTGGGCCATCAGTTGGAAGGAGATCTGCAACAGCCACTTCTCCGTTTCTTGCAGCGCTGCGTGATACGCGTTGTACTCCTGTATCTCGTTCTCGACGAGCCTCCTCCTCTCGCCGACGAGATCGGCCAGCGCCTGCCATCGCACCAGCAGCTGCTTCGTATCGTTCAACGTCGCGTTGTTCTTCGCCCACGCCGACAGTTCCGTCGCCTCGGCGATCAGATGGTCCAGATCGGAATTCTTGTCTCGCATCTCCTCCTGGATGTGCTTGTATCGCTCGAGCATCGTCTTCATCTCACCGAACTCGCCTTTCGTGTCCGGGGAGCTCCTCATGACGCTCTCGTTCTCCTCCAGCCAATTGGCGAATTTACCGTGAGCCTCCGCGTGATCCTCCCAGAGGCTCAGGACGGATTTTACTTTGGCTTGAACCGTATTCAGGTCCATGCTCAGCTGTTCCCAGCTGCAGCGCAGGTTAGACATGTCCGATCGCAACTGATCCTGTTGCTCCGGCAGAGCCATGTTGATCGCCTTCGCGAAGGCGTTCTGCAGCGTCGACAGCAAATGTTGACCCTCGGTCACGCGCGTCGCGACAAGCTGTATTGAAAGCCGTTCGAAAATTTATTTAAATTAAATCAGGTAAATGCATTTGACCCCCGAGTGGCCGCGCATCGAAATGCAATACGAGTGATTGCGTGGATGACAAGTGTTCTTCTTTTTTAAATTGATGTTTTCAAGAAAAAGTCGCTTTAGAAAGTAGTTTATTCCTATGGAATTGTTTATTCCTATGGAAATAACAATCATAAAAGTTCTTATTTAAAACAAAACTGAAACAAATTTGTATTTCTTTCTCGATATAAGAACAAAAATTAATCAGAAAGAAATTAAGTGGAGGTCAACATTGTTTTGAAAGTGATCTGTTTAAACACTAAGATACGATGTACATACCACCATAAATTACCATAAATGTGAAAAAGTGGGATACTTTGGAAACGAACCAATCAACAAAAAATGGTTCAGATAAAAGTTTGACGATTTGAAGGGGGGGGGGGGGCATAAGTTAGTGACCTTAACTTCGTTGTAAAGTCAACAATTCCAGGTCATTTCAAGGTCAACTCCATTTTTGTAAGTAAAATTATATAGTTTGTTTATACAAATTGATCCCTCTATTCATTCTGCGTATAAAAGTATTAGAATAAGATCACCAAAAATTGAATACTTGTTTAAATATTTTACTTTTTATTTTGGTATTTTTCAGTACAAAATATGAAATATCTGAAAGAATATTCGCTTTTCAATAATATCACCTTAACACTTTTGCACGTAGAATAACAGGTGGAACCGATCGTTATAAGCGAACATAGAAAAGTTCCCTAACTGACAAACATGCGAAGATACAAGATGGATACTTGTTAGTTTTTTCAGAAAATGCATTTTAGTATACATGGATGACACCTGTCATCTGCGTAATCGCTTCGAGGTTAAATGATTAATCCAGATTAAGAAGTAAAAATAATCGAGAAAAGAGAAAAAATCTTTATTAAACTGAACTCACCCTCAAGGTTTCTAACTTATCCCTCGCCCAGACGGCGTCTCCGACGCCGATGCAGTCCTCCACCGAACCGTGAGCGGTGCGTAGCCAATCCTCCATCTCCTTCTTGGCCTTGAGGAACTCGGTATGGTCCAACAGATTCTTCTCGACCTTCGAGACGAGCCCCTGCGCATCGGTCAGAAGCGACGTGTATGCCGACTGCAATTGCACCGTTTTATCTCGCGCCCAGCTGCAAGCGCTGATCTCCAGCAAAGCTTCGCACTTGTCGTTCAAGTCTTCCAGCACTGGTTTCTGCTTGATAGCTTCCTCCACTAAGCGCTTGCAACGTTCCAAATCCTCCGGCATCTTGTTCTCCTTGGCCTGCTCGTCAGCGATCTTCTTCTGGAAGTGGTCTATCCATTGCTTCATGCCGTCCAAAGCGTTCGTGAACTGCGACCAGCTCGAGATGCAGTTGCCGAGGACACGTTGCGAGTTCTGGCATTGAGCCTGCAAGGACTTCCAGTCGACCTGTATCTGTTTCATGTCCTGCTTGATGGAGTCTTGACCCTCCGGGCCCGTTTTGGCGATCACGACGTCGCTCAACTCGATCACTTTCGAAATCAACGTGTCGCCTTTCGGCAAGGACGAAATAATCTGGTTGACTTTGTTCTCGCGCTCAATAATGCGTTCCTTTTCGCCGTGAGTGTCGCTGTATTGCTGAAGCTCGACCTTCGTACGACGCACCCAGTCGGCCGCCTCGTTCAAAGCTTGCTGGAATCTCTCGTGATCCTTCACTTGATCCTCCAGGTTCTGGAAGAAAGTTACGGACGTTGATACGGAATTAATGTGGAAACGCGAGGAAATTACAGAAATTACAATATAAGAATCGGAAAATTACGATTAGTTTGCGAGATTTATCTTACGAGAAGTTAATTTACAAGATTTCTACTTACACGAATTTTCTCGGAAATCAGTTTCTTCGAGGTGTCGTACTTATTAATAGTCGATTCGTAAGGGCTCTTCGATATGTTGGGGTTCTCGTTGAGACGAGTCTTCAAGCGGTCTACTGTCTCACCGTGACCGTGAATGTCCCTTTGCAGAATCTTATACTTCTCCAAGAAGGCACGTTTTTCGCTGAGATCGTTTCGGCAAATGTCTGCCGGCTGGACCTTGCCTTCGACTTCCTCCAACCAGTCCGAGATAAGTCGGTGAATCTTATTGAGCTCTTCCAACGTGCCCGCTCTTGCCGACAGTTTCTGCCTGACATCTTCGACGTCGGCCAGTAACTTATCGAACTCGCTCTTTAAGTTCTCGGTGTCTTCTTGAATCTTTGCCGCGCCGTTCTGTTCCGTGTTCATGATGACTTTCTCTTTCAACTCGAGAGCGTACCGTAATTTGTTCTGACCTTGTTCCAACGTCTGTCGAATGGCTTTGCACGTGTGCAATTTATTGTTAACCTCAGTCAAAGTGCTAGGAATGTCCTTGCATTCGCCTAGCTTGTCTCGCGTCCGCTCGATCCAGTCCTGGCACTCTTGATACAAGGTGTTGTGTTGTTGGTGTTCCTAAGTAATATTTTTCAAAGGTAGAACGTATTTGCTTTTGCAATCTTTCGCGTTTATATTTCAAGCGAACGGTTAAAATTTGTATTAGGAAGTGAAAAGAACAAATCGAAAATCATAAAGAAAAAATAAAATTTTGGCAAAAAAGTGAAATTAGATTAATTTACAGTCCCTGGCTATATTATTAGACATACTTTGATTTTTTAATAGAATATTGGTTAAGAGGAAAAGAAAAGCTATTAATTTTATGTTCACTCGATTAGAATAATTTCAATGTCAATCGAGCGCTTTTAGCTTTGCACCCTCCTGGGGTGTCAAATCACTTGTTTTATCCGTAATTTTTATAAACAATATTAATGTTTTTCACACAAAAATTAATTTTTCTGTTAGTAAGCCAGAAATTTGAAGTTTCAAGTCATGAATAAATAAAAGTAAAACTACATTTCAATTGATACACACACACACACACACACACACACACACACACACACACACACACACAAAACACGTCTGTTCCCGTTATTATCAACAATGCAACTAGCGCAGGTTCATACTTGTTTAAAGTCATTGTAACAGCCAAGTGAAATGACGCCATAAAAAATACCTTTCATTATAGAATTTTAGAATAATGTTTCCTTGAAACAAAATTCGATCGACAGATGAGCCGTATTATAAAGCTAATCCTCGGAAGTCAATGAAATGTGATAAATTAAGGTGCGTCTATAATATGGCCAGGGACTGTGTATGATTAACGAATACGCAATTATACCTGGTAATGTAACTCCAATCGCCGCATTATCTCCTTAGCGAGGGATAAGAGTGCGTTGTATTTGGTGGTGAGCTGTGTAATAGCGTTGGAAATCCTCGTGTCGGCGCACGTTTCCAGCAGCATCTGAGCTTTCATGTTCAAGCGGTCCAGTTCTTTCTGCCAGTCAAACAACGTCTGCAAGTGAACCTGGAACTGTTCGAGAACGTTCTTCTTTTCTTCCAGGCTGTCTTGCAATTTGTTGAACGTCTTAACCAATTGTTCGGTCTGCGTGAGCCATTCCGTAGCATCGGAGAACTGGTCCTCGTATTCGGTCCACTTCACTATACCGACTTCGAGCAAGCTCTTCGTATTGTTCAATGAGTCCCTGTTTTAAATCGCGAAACACAGACGTTAACCGATGTATCGGATGATAAAATATAAAATCAACATCGAGAAATTGCGCCGAACCGTTACTCACACATAATTGTCGTACTCCTCTTGTAATAACGCTACTTCTTCCTCGATGATCTCCTTGTCCTCGGCATCGGCGATCTGGCAAGCGGCGTTACCTTGCTCCAGAGCTCTCTCCAGCTTCTTCTGGCCTTCCGGCAGTTCGCTCTGTAGGACTTTCAGCTGCGTGATTTTACTGGAGAGGGATTCCTTGTCTCCCGTAGGCTCCGAGCACTTGCCGAGTCTCTCTTTAGCTGCTCGTATCCACTGAACGAACTCGTTGCCACTGTCGATGAAGGCTTGGTGCTGCTCGACGGTCTCCTTCTGCTTCGCGTACAATTCCTGCGCCTGCTTGCTCAGGGTCTCATACTTAATCGAGATTTCCGTGGCCGGCGTCGCTTGCTGCAGGTCCTCGGCCTTGGTGGTGACCGACTGGATCATCGGCTCGAAAGCCACGATGTCCTGGACGATGCTGTTGGTCTGTCGCAGGTTCGCTTTTCTCTCACCGATCGCCAGGGAGCTCAATCCGACCAGGCCCTTGCGAGCCTTGGAGACCTTCTGCTCGCACACCTGCTGCAGCTTGGCCTCGCGATCGTTGATCCACTGTTGCAGCTGCGAATACGACGAACTGTAATCCGCCCATTGCAGCAGGCTCGTCTCGAGATGCACCTTCGTAGTCGAGATCTTCTTCACCAGGCGCTCCCAGTCGTTCTGGATCTCCTTCAGCTGCGCATTGATCTCCTCGCGACCGTCCGACCGCGTGTTTCTCATCACCTTCTCGCCGCAGTTCACGGTCAGGTGCACCAGATTCTGTCCCTCCTCGCGTTTCCTCAGCAGTTCTTGAATCTTGTCGAGCCTGCTCTGCAATTCCTCGCGGCTGCTGCTCGAGGCCGCCTCCGTGCCCTGACGTATGATCTGCTTGGCGTTCTTGATCCAGTCACGGGCTCTCTCGAGATTGTCCTCGTATTCCCGGTGCTGGGCCAAGTTGGTCTCGACCTTGTTCAGCACGTCCTTTGCCAGGTTCACCTGCACTTGATAGCGTGAGTTCAAGTGTCGCAGTTGATTGCTGACGTAAGTGTCCAAGTGAGACGACAGCAGGCTGGCGGCGGTCTTGTTGAACTTGTCGATCTGCTCCTGGCCTTTCGTGAGATTCTCCAGCAATTCCTTCACCTCCTGCACTTGCTTCTCCTTCTCCTTCAAGTTCGGTAGCAAAGCGTTCTTCTGGGCCTTGATGAGAATGTCGAATTGTTGCAACCAGTCGCTGAGTCGCTCGTACTCGTCCTTGTAATCGCGCCATTGGCTCACGGTCGCTTCCAGCTGGTTCTTCTGCTGTTGGATCTCTGCAACGAGATTTCGCGAGTTCGTCAATTCACGCGTTTATTCTTAAATTAAGTAAGACGCCCCGTCACAGACATGATAAGATATTCTTAATTTGAAGATCAACACGGTAAGAATTCTCTAATTTTCAGAAACAAAATCTATCTCCGAAACGAATCCACAAAGGACGCGGCGCTAATTCGGAAACCCACAAATTAGGTATTTCTCTTCACCGCGAAAGCTTGAAATATCATGATGAGAAATTTCCAGAGTTTAAAGTCGATTCGTCGCCGTGACAATGTTTCAGATTAACGTGTGATTCTTACCTTTGAACAATCCCTCGAAACTCTCCGAGAGCGCCCGTATCTCGTTCCTGATAACCTCTTGCCCGGCGGGGCTGGTGCTGGCGCAGACAACCTTCCCGGTGTGCTGTAATTGCTCCACCAGCAATTCACCCTGGGCCTTTTTATTCAGCAGACTCTCGAGCGGCACCACCGCGTTCTCGATGGCCAGCTTGTCGCTGAGCGACCTCTGCTTCATAGACGGTATCTTCTCACGGGCGCGACTGAGCCAGCCGATGAGATCGTCGTGAGCCTCCTTGTAAAACCGGTGATCTTTGTACTGCTCTTCTCGCTCGGCCAACAAGGACTTGATCTTCTCGAAGAGCTCGTCGAACCTGTTGAGTATGTCCTGCGCCTGCGAGGCAGCTAAACCTTGCTGACCGCTTGCGATCATCTCGGCGACTTTGCACTTGAGACTGTCCACCTCGATGTTCTCGCAGCGAACCTTCTCCTCCAACGCCTTGATCCGCTCCAATTGGCTCCTCTTCTCCGACATGGTCGTCTGGAACTGCGAGATCTCGTCGATGGACGTCTGCATGTATTCTACCATCTTGTTGATAGACTGTATCTGCTCCAGCAGACCGGCCCACTTGTTTATCGAGTCGTCCAAGTTCGTCTTGGTCTCCAGCATCTTGGAAGCCAACGCGCTCCACTGTTCCTGAAGCTTCGCCAATGCGTCGTTGATCGTCCGATGCCCGGCCGGGGCTGTATTCGCTAACACCGCCTGCGCCAGCTCGATGATGCTCTGAACCTTCGCGAAACCGTCCTCTTTGTACAACAACAGGTCCTGCACGATGTCCATCTTCTGCTCGAGATCCTTCTGCGAGGACGCGCTCAAGTCGGAACAGTACGCCAGCTTGTTCCTGACATCCTCCAGCCAGGTGGTGCACTCGGCCAATTGATTGTCGAATTCCTGGTGCGTGGCGACGTATTGGTGCCAACGGTTGTTGAGGTCCTTCACCTTGCTGGAGATTTGCTGGTACTTGATGCTCAACTCGGACATGTAAGAAGTGCGGGACGTGACGTTCTTGTGGAGCTGCTGAGCGCGCTCGGCGACAGCGTCGATCTCCAGCTCCTTGGCGCGTACCTCGCCTTGAAGAGCGCGCAGCTTCTCCAACTGGTTCTTCTTCTCCGCCAGGGTGGCCTTGAGGTCGACGGCGTGCAGTTTCGTGTCGGTCTCCCTCATCCATGCCAGGCATCTCTCCTTCGACGTCTCGAATTCGCTCCACTGCTGAAGCTTGTTCTCCAGCGCCTCGATGGTGGACCTGACCGCGGAGATCAGGCCCTCCCACTCTTGCTGCGACGAATCGATCTGCGAGCGTATGTTCACCTGTCCGGACTCCAAGGTGCCGGGTATCACCTTCTCACCGAGGGACCTAATCTGCTGCACCCGCGGCTCGTCCTCCGGCAGGCTGTGCAACAGGTTCTTCAGCCGATCGAGGTTCGTGTGCAGAGACACTCTTTCCAGCTCCACATCGCCCCAGAGGCTGACGGCGTTGTGCGTGGCGTCCAGCCACTCGTGCGTGTCCAGAACCGCCTTGCTGTATTGTTGATGATCGCTCACGATGCCCTCGTACTTCTCCACGAACTTAGTCGCGCGCTTCAGCAGCACATTGTACCTGCCCGTGAGACTCTTCAGCGTGTGATCGATCTTCTCGGTGCGGTCGGGCAGATTGTCCGCTTTGTCCCGTAGTTTCAGCAGATCCTGCTGGTGCGCTTGGGCGTCGTGCAAAATCGTACGGTAGATTTGCAACTGGGCGCGTTTCTCGTCCAGAGTGGTCTTCAGCTCGATCTCGGGCTTCAACTGAGCCTCCACGGCCTTCAGCCAGGTCTCGAACGCCTCGCTGCATTCGTCGAAACCGGACCACCGCGAGATCTTCGCCTGTAGCTCGCGCTCAGTTGACGCGACGCCGTCGTACAGACCCTCGAAGGCTTGCTGCAGGTCCAACAGTTGCTGACGAATGATCTCGCGGCCCTCCATGCCGGTCGTGGGGTACAGACGTTCTCCAGCTTCGACGGTGCTGTTTATCAGCAGCGTGGACGAAGACTGACGCGATAAGAGCTCCTTCAACGTGTCGACGTTCGCGATCAGCTCTTGACGAGTGCCACTCGCGTTCTCCTTGGTGGCATGATAACGCGCTCTCGCGTTCGCCAGCCATTCCGAGCACTGTTTGTAACGTTCCAGGTAGCCCGCGTGGTCCACGACTGCTTGCTCGCATTTCTTCACGAGTTCCTGCGGAAGAGTGAGAAATCGATCACTCATTTATCTATTATTATTATTATTAATATTGAAGCTGAGACAAGTTGTCTGTCATTTATATCAGATCTTTCGCTCATGTATAGTCCCTATTATTATCAGACGCAAGTTAGGCCATATTATTAGACGCACTTTAATTTTTTACAATTTATTGACTTCCGAGGAGCAGTTTTATAATACGGCTCATCTATCGATCGAATTACATTAAGAATTAACATTATTCTAGAATTCTATTGTAAAAGGTATTTATATGACGTAATTTCACTTGTTACAGTGACCTTGAACAAATATGAACATGCGCTAGTTGCATTGTTGATAATAACGGGAACAGACTTGTTTTGAATGTGTGTGTGTGTGTGTGTGTGTGTGTATCAATTGAAATGTAGTTTTACTTTTATTTATTCATGACTTGAAACTTCAAATTCCTTGCTTACTAACAGAAAAAAAAGTTTTCGTGTGAAAAATATTAATATTGTTTACAAAAATTATGGGTAAGACAAATGATTTGACACCTCAAAAAGTTGCAGAAGTAAAAGAGCCAATTGACGCCGAAAATGATTCTAATCGAGTAAACATAAAATTAATAGCTTTTCCTTCCCTCTTAATCTGTATTCCATTAAAAAATCGAAGTGCATCTAATAATATGGCCAAGGTCTGTATACTAAAAGTTTCTTCCCCGTTAACATAGATTATTATTACTATTATAAAATTATTATAAAATCCCAGAAAAATATATATCTCATTCATCTGTATCCCATAAAAGATGTTATATTGTGCTGCATCCTCTTACCTTGGCGGTTGCCTGAATCGACTGGAAACGCGATGTAACTTGCTGAACGCTGGCAGAGAATCTGGTCTCGCCGCTGATCTGCATGAGCTCCGACGAGTCGTCGCTCATTTTATCGAATTCCGCCTCGTTTTGCCGCAGATTCACGATCAGTGACTGCAAAAGATCGCTTTTATTTTAGCGCGGCTCAACTATTTTGCCAATGAGAAATTCGTTAAACAGCCGTTTCCCGCGCATTTTGTACGCGCGCGGAAGGAGGAAGTAGAAAGTTCTCTTCCTGCGTGAGAGCGAGCAGAAAGCCTGTCTAAGTAATGGTTAGACTATTATCACTTAAGTGTTAAACAGAGAAGTGTTAATTGTCATAGAAGAAGAAGAAGAAGAAGAAAAATAGAAAGGAATATAGAGAGTTTAATGCTCGAGATCCAGATATATCAGGCTGATTCGTCGTACTCGATGTCAGTCTCAGCGTAAAAAGAAGCTCTACTTCCACTCGTGCAGCAACAAACAGAACTTCCTTACTGCGAGCTTCGAAGCCGGAAGCGCTTAATATTCGCTGAAAGTAAACCGGCAGCCCGCCAAATGCCTGACAAACAGTCGCATTTGGTCGATTAGGCGCAGATACATAATTATTATTTGGTGTTACAAGGTATTTATGTGTTTTGGCGATAATATTTTGGTTTCAGCGCGTTCGGCGATACTTTCGCATGGCGAGTTTACGAATGACGCGTACTTTGCAAAATTTCATTCAACATAGATTTTTTGTTCAACGTCGAGCGACGGAGACAAATCGCCGGTAGATTCGCATTACCGATCGCGCGTATCGCCTCACAGTGTCAATAAAATCGCAAGACGAAGCGTTGGCATCCTCCCACCTGCTCTGACAAAAGCTGCAAAAGCTGTAAGATTAGACGGTGAAAGGGCAATCGTGTCGGAGAGATTCCTCATAATAAAGCCGTTGCGCATCAAATCACTCGCGCGCTCCTCTCTTCATCTCTCTTTCGCGATCGCGCCTTTTCTTTGTACAAGATTATGGTTATCGCGTGTTATCAGTTCGCACATGTCACTTTCTTACTTGTTCGAGATGGTCACCGAGCGCAACCAGTTCCGTCACATCCGTGTTCCGCGATTCCGCAACCTTTTGCAGGTCCTGGGAAATGTTATTATATACATTCATTGAGTGAGGGGAACAATTGCGCTAGGAGCGAGGATAAGTGTTTGCCGGGACGTTCCCCCCCCCCCCCCCCCC